ACTAAGCGCCGCGCTTGTGTTGCATGAGGCATGGCCCCTGTCAATCGCTAGCTCGTCAATCGGTCAAGAAGCGCATGCAGAGGCTGCAAAGCGCCTCTGCATGCGCTTTGAGGCACTTGACTCTCGTGTGTTGCCCCTAGTGTAAACGGGCCTTTATATGGTAATGGTCCAAAAGTGCATAAGGGGCTTAAATTCACAAATTTTTTGGCCGGGATGCTCTTTATATTTAGCTTCTATGTGGTGATTCAAAGATTGCACGAGTTGATCATTAATGGCGAAATATTCAGACCAGGGAGATTTTTGGGGCGAATTCTGATACGGCGCTGACATCAGCCTGATAAAGCTCTGACATCATTCTGATCGGGCTCTTACATTATTCTGTTAGTACTGACTTAATTCTGTTATGACTGATTTAATTTTCTTATGATTAATTTAATTTTTATATGGCTCTGATATAATTCTGATATGTCTAAGAGCAAGCATGGCACTCCTCTATGCTATATATAGCGTGCATTGCAAGTTGGATGTGAGATGACAACGTGCATCGAACGGCGCTCAAGTTTGTGTATTTGAATTATCGCAAAAAGCCCTTCCTTTCGAACTTTCAGCAACTTTGAATTTAGCTTCTACCGCCGGGTTGCGCATTTCCTCTGGATAAGTTTATGAAATTAAAATTATTGTTTCTACCGTATCATGTCGTCGGAATTTATATTAAAGCTTAATTCTTTTTTATTGCGAATCCCACTTCAGAATTGCCACAGAAACTCAACCAGTTGACAATGTGTTGGTACTTATTCACCTGCGATAACATGCCCGGTTTCTTTCGACCATGTACTTTGTCAATCTTATTCAAGGATGTATTAACCTGTTCTACTGTAAGGGGAATGCAAGTTTTGGATTACTTTGACGTTAGTGTTGTAGAATAAATAAATACGACGTTTCGTTCTACAGACCTTAAATCGTGGCATAAAATTGAGTCTCTAGGCTGGATGCACAGGCGCATCTAGTGAACTTTTTACATCAGATAGCACTGCTTTCGCTTCGGAAGTTTGTGATGTTGGTGCCCTTCTCTAGTGCCTGCAGCAATGTGCCAGCATTTTAATCAGAAAAAATTGACAGAACATTGATGTTTAGGAATATCTTACTTAGAATGCAGTGCCTAATGTTTTTCTTTTCCAAAGTCCCAATGACACAAAATTATGTGTTGCTGAAATTCATCACACTAATACTACACCGTTATTGATGCAAGTAAATAATCCGCCTTCATGAGAGGAGAGTGCGGTTACCTAAAGTCCTGTGGCGTTCAAATTTAGTTAAAGATATTAAATTTGAACTCTGAAAATTGGTTTAACCTCAGGAATTTGTTAGTAGCCGGAAAAGTTTTCGACATAACGATGAGACGCTGGTTTTAGGCAAGCAGTAGTTAGGCTGTCAAGGCAGCTTACTTTTGGCAATCATCCTAGTCTCAGTACTGTACGTTGATACACATGATACTACCTCAGCCACCACACATACTGATTAATACAGAGAATAGTTTTTATGAATTGAATATTAAGCCGCAACCAAGACCAGTGTTCCTTATGATTCGCCGGCATATTATGCTTATTCCATTAGAAGTTACGTATTAGTTAATGATAAAAATATAACTAGAATAATACCCTGTGTGATAATTCCTCGAATCAGACGCTGCAACTGCAGAACTCAATTTTCACCAAAAAATGCAACACGTAAACATAGGAATCGACAGGGAAATAAAATTTGGACGCTGTTGAAGTAAATTTGTGTTTATTTAACATAAACATCGCTGTTGAAGGCGATGTTGATGAAGTCCCCATCGACATCAATCCTCCGAACTGGCAGGATGAGACTAATCTTAAGTGCCATCAACAAGCTCCATGTTGTAAATGCCGATACCTCGATTTCTCCCTTTATATTTAACGGCAGTTATCGAGTTTCTCCTAAGATTTCAAAATAATATCAAATTACCGTATGAAAGCTTGTCGATGGAATGCATTGAAACAATCGGGTTCTAAATTACTGTATGACAGATTGCAATGTATAAACTAACATGAACAAAAACTGTGAAAAATAATAAACTTCGGCATAGAACCAATCAAATCAGTACACTAACGGTATGCACCTCATGTTTAAGGATAGAAAGAATAGAACTGTCTCGTGTTTATCGCGTAAAGTTACAAATTAAAAACAAAAGCAAGTTGAATAAATGAAAATTCTTCTATTAATGCAATAATTTAGTACACGTAACAATCCAGTCAGATCACATCCTATGACGCCATTCAATCGAAACGCGCGCTACAAATAGAGTCGCTGGACAATGTTGACTGAGCGACTCAACACGACAAGAATCACGAGCTTCGGAGTGTGGAGAAGCCAAAACTACTGCTTCATTGCTTAAAAAAGTTCTAACGAGAAGTTATAATCAGTCCATCCCATTAATAGTTAAATTAGTAACGCTTCTATTATGTTTAGCTTAATGATTTTGTAGCTAACGGCAGATCATCGCAACTCCCAGCTCATCAAACTTAAAGTAATCCGTTAGGCGTGCAATTTAAGTGGAAATTCAGGACCGTATAGAAGCGTGGACATGTGCAATATGCGTCTAACTAATTTTGAAGTTCGTTACGTTTGTAGTCTTTTGCCGTTGAAGTCTATTTCAACTCACATACGGGGAGTGAAAAATTAGAGTAATAAAAAATAACCTGAAATGCTTTCGGTCCTATCTCACCATACTTATTCATGCCAGATGACTTTTGCCATGGTTTTTAACATTTTATTTGAAGGCAATTCAGTAATATATTTGAAAAAATCGTTGAATGAATAAATAATTGCCATCCTGACGTTACATTTAGCATTTATTTACAAAGCGACAAAACGTAAGAATTGGAACCAGCAATTCCAGTTTGCATTTGATTTCACAGGATCAGACACCATCAATGTATGGACTTTCGCTAATTGTTTCATAGATGAGGCAAGCAAATTTCAGTCTTAAATAGGTAAAGAGCAGGATAACTTCGACGTAACTTATATATTTACTTACTCTTAGCATCACATAAGCCAGGGAGGTCAGAAAAATATCTCCATTGAGTGGTAAATATGAAGCTCTGGCAGCGATCAGTGCGTAGACTGGATACCAGCCGCCGTCACCTACTGCAGTCAAGGCATCGAAGATCATCGGGTCGACAATATATACCTCATTTAGGGAAATTTTCCGTATGTTTGTTGATGATAAGTTGTTCCGTCGTAAGTGAAAATTAGGTTTGAATGTTGTTGCTTTGGCGTACAAAATCCTTGTATGTAAATCCTTGGCGTACAGTTGCGTACAAAAAGAAAAAGCCCCGAGTGTTAATTCTGCAAAAAGAACAGAGCCTTTTATAATTTTTATCGGTATACAAAAAATCCTGATCTGAAAATTTCAATGGAAAAGTCGAGGCAATACTTGAATTCATTATTGTCGTTTGGCTTGCAATTCCAAAATTAAGTATCAAGTATGAATATTTATTTGTAACAAATCAATGCCAATAAGTAGGAATTTAGTTATATATCAATAAATAGGATTGATGTACTTCGGCATAGACATTTCTTTTATGCAAGTTTGATTGAAGAACAGAGCATGCTTTTTATTAACACTCTCATAATTTTTTTTTAACGAGTCGATCAAAATTTCTTGCTGGCGCCGGGAGATCGAAAAGCAGGTTACCAAATGACATTTTAATGGAATGCGACGTTTCGAATGTACAATATTCATTATCAAGCAAGTGATGGTTTTGCAACACTTAAAATTGAACTTTGGAAATGACAGTAGTACAAATTAAGGGTATTGTGGGTACAGTTTGAAATCTAAGCTTAAAATTACTCAGCGTTTGACGAATCTTGTAGTCTGGAGGTTGCTAGCTGGCGATTCGCTCTTGATAATGAGGGCCTCAGCTATCGCCAGTCTCGATGGGGCAGGGCACCGCATAACTATGCTGGTGCAGGCCTCAAACGTCGCTCGAGTGATGGTCTCATTGGAGCCTCCCGCAAGGAGGTTCTTACTTCTTAGGTCCTCCAGATTGTAGGCATGTGAGTCGGCGGCTTGAGGTCGTGCTAGTAAGACAAATGTAGTTTATATTTTGAAGAGGTCTGCAAACTTCTATATTACATAAAAATTTAAAAGGTGCGGGAACCCGACGCGGGAGGTTTACAAAGAGACCATCATCCGAGCGACATTGGAGGCTAGCACTAGCATATTTATGCGGTGCCCTGACTCATCGAGACTGGCGATAGCTGAGGCCTTCATTATCAAAAGCGAATCTCCAGCTATCAACCTCCAGACTACAAGATTCGTCAAACGCCGAGTAATTTTAAGCTTATATTTCAAACTGTACCACAATACCTACCCTTAATTCGTACTACAGTCATTTCCAAAGTTCAATTTCAAGTGTTGCAAAACCATCACCTGCTGATGATGGTTATATTAACAATAATGAATATTGTTAATTCGAAACGTGCGATTCCATTAAAATTTCATTTGGTAACCTGCTTTTTGGTCTCCCAGCGCCAGCAAGAAATTTTGTTTGACTCATTGAAAAAACCAAAATAAGAAGATTGTTAATGAAAAGAAGTAGAGATTGTTAATGAAAGATTGAAGAAATTGTTAATAAAATGATTGCTCTGGTCTTCAATCAAAGTTGCACACAATAAATAAGAGGTCATTTACTGAGAGTCTCTAGGAGTCGTGCTCTTCCTTGGTCGTCCCGGGACAGTTGTCCGTCATGTCAGCCTCGTCCTCGTAGGCTGTGCCGCACCACACGCAGTAGTGGTAGGAGAGTCTCAGGTAGCTTGCCACAACATCTACTCGCACCTCTACCTGCATACCATCACAGGGATTAGCAGCATAATTACGAATTTGGCTAAATGCACGTTATCTACTCGAGACTACTTCAAACCTTATTTAAATAAAAGGATACTACTACTTCCAATTTAATTTTGAAATATTGTGAAGTAACAGCTACATTTTCAACTTCTACTGATATTCCCTGAAAAAAAAGCTGTTGGTTGAAAATGCATTGCATTCTTCAGATTGATATCCAACACCAAGTCATAACAAAGAGGAAAAACCTTCAAGTAAATTGCAAGAATCAATCATTACACAGCGCCAAAATTTTACACAATTGACCAGCTTACTCTGGTGAACCTTTTTTTATCTCTTTTTCTACAAGAGTTCACTTATAAATTGGCACAATTAAGTGTTTTATGGTCTCAACAATAACCTTCAATAGTAAAAAAATATATAACTTGGTATGTACTAGCTGCAGTGAGTGACAGAGCACGCATCTTCTCATTGACAAAAACGTGAAGTCACGGACGGACAGACAGACAGACGGACATGGCGAGCACAATAGTGCATTTTTTCCATAAATGAGAAAATGCGCTAAAAACAGTAAATGCTCAGCATAATTTTTCTCAGACGGGTCTTGTCAACACAATTTTATTGCTGAGTCAAATTGTTGAAAGGTTAGGAAACTGAGTGCCAGTACTTAGGTTAGGAAACTTGACCTGCCAGTACTCAAGCACCGCGTCATCCTCTTCAGCTGCATCGTCTTCATCGTCACCTTGCCCCTCATGGGCCGGCAGCAAGTGGGGCGGCCAGAAATAACTCTCCATGGGCTCTTCAATTCCCTATAAAAAATGCCTCAATTAAATATTATTACTGAATTATATAATATCATATCAGTTGCTCTTAAAAAGAAACATTCTTAGGATATTAAAATTAATATTGAAATCCTACTTGAGACTTTTTCTTCAAAGAAAAACACCACTTTTATGCTGGTGTTACACAAATAATTCTGAAAATTTGAAATTTTAATTGAAAATGGCTTTTAATCCCAACCCCTCAAACCAGCAGCTCGTTGACTCATGGAGAAACCCTAGATCAAATATGGTGCTAGCAGTGAAGTTTCGCAAAAGATGCCTTTGATTTTTTGTACTTTGAGTCATTGTGAATAGCTGGGTTAAATAGGTATATATTCATTATAAACATTTTGAAAATATTTACCTGACTCAATGCACACCAAAATAAGTAGCTGAACTGCTACACTTACATTATCTGAGTCAAGAGTAAAGCAAACTCGTTGGCATCGTGCCAGGTCTGCTTCTAGCTGTTTGCCCATATTTTCCTGTCGCTTTCGTTCTCTGCAGAATGAATAAACATCAAATCCTTAGCTCCTGAGTCCTTAGCTTATTATAATGATCTTGATAACTAATAACTAATACCAAGAGAAAAAAAAATTACCAAATAATGTCCTGGAATTGAATGAAACTAGAAAAAATGAGAACAAAAATTTTTTAAGTTTTAGAGACAGAAAAGCTGCATTGTTATAATTACCCAAAGGTAAAATATCATCAATGGGCAGCTATGTCTGAAAGTTAATCTTTCAATAAATCTCAAAATGAACCAGGTTTCATCAATGACATTTTATTTAACAATTCACCTGAAAACATCAGGATCAAACTCCAATGCTAATTTCTTCATTTTGGCAAGATATCTTTGTTCCTTTTCTCTTTTCTTCTCCATGAGCATTTGTTTCAAACCCAGCCCACCCCTATCTCCTTTTAGCTCAACTTTGATAGGCTCCACACAACCACCTCCTGCACAATGATGAAATTTGAAAATTGTCATAAATAATTGACAACAAATTGACCATACTTAGGCTAGCCAAATCATAAATTATTTTAATTTCATAATAAAGGGCAAGTGAAGTGAATGATCATGAGCTGAATGGGCTATTTACGTACCAAACAATATCAATGTCACATCAGAAACGGCATATATTGAGCAAGAAAATTTTGTAAATATTAATAACAATCTTTCAACAACCTTTGTCACCAAGACTGGTTCCTGGCTTGTATCCCATCTTCATAAGCATGGCAAACCCCTTATTGCTTTCTCCAAGAGCAGAATTCAACCCATCTTCTAGCCTTTCTCGAGCTGATGGCTGATTCTTCTTCTTGAGCCTAGCAGCCATGATTTCCTCTTTTTTCTTTTTCTCCATTTCTAGTTTTCTCTTGGCTGCGTAGGACATGGGCATGCCTGGTCTGATGTCCTTCATTTCTTGTGTGCTGCAAATTACACAATTATTTAAATAAAAAGCTTAATTTAAAAAAAAAATATGATGAACACATAACCAAGCAATACACATCAAAAGAGCAGTTGTGGAGGGAGAGTTGACTGATTTTGTAATACTCATGAAAATACATCAAGGAAAGTACCATACTATAGGTACCGATGCTTGACTAAAAATAATAAAAAGATATTTTTATGTGTCCCAAAAAATTTGCACAAACTTAAAAATAAACACTATCAAAGTAAATTGATTAAACTCAGCTAAACCTCTGTTCAGGTATATACTGGTAAGAATTTGGCTAAGGTAAAAGATCTTAAGAATCATGATTGTAATCAAAAGTAGCATAGCTGGCACCATGAGGCTCCACCAGCATCAGCAGTAGAATCCTATCAGACAACTAAAAATGCAAACAACAACACGTTGTCATTTATAATACCATAAATATTCCACATGTCATCATTACCATTTGGCCAGGAAATTATCAGACATGTAGTCTTCTTCATCATCCTCCTCACAGCCCAACTGGCCTGCTGCACACCAAGAAGAACTGGCCATGGCACACAACAATTATTATTATTTTTTATTATTTTACATTTCTTCATGAAACAATTGCCAAACTTTATAGAAATCTGTTGAAAAAACAAAAGTTTTTGGTTAGGAAAAACTCTCAAAGGTAAAATATACAGAGGAAAAAACTCAAAGTTCTACACTGGAAAAAGTAAATTTAAACATAGATCAACCATCCATCATCAACATTGAACACTAATGATAAGCAATCAGAACTCGAGTTGTGCATACTGTGATCTTTTTATAGCCATTCATTTCTTGGTATGTCCTTAATGTGTCACTGTCAGAATATGATGTGTTTATCCTAGAATATTTCCTATGAATAAACCAAGTCAAAGTAGGCTAAACGCGGTATATTCCGACACATTAAGGACATAGCAAGAAATGAATGGCTATAAAAATATCACGGTATGTGCAACTCGAGTTCTGATTGGTTTACGTCACTCTCAAAACACCACACTACGCGCCAGCAATGATGAAACGTCACAAACTTGCCATATTTATATAAAAGCCTTTAAAATTCAAACCTACAAAATCCCTGAATTCCAATGCTGTGTGTGACTAAATTTGGCATATTGTGAGACTATATTCCGACAGCGCTTCAAACTCTTACTAATTCGTAATTCTGATGCCCTGTATTGCAATTCCGATGCCTTGTGTGAGCTGTATCAGAATACGACACAGCTCAGAACAATTAATTAAAAAATTATAATTTTTTAATTAAGCTTTTAATTAAGAGCTATTAAGCTTTTAATTAAGAAAATTTCAATATTTGGACACAGCTTGGAACGAGCTGTGTGTGTCTAATTCCAAGCTGTGTCAGAATTAGTTTTTATGTCTTTAAAACCATTGCTCAACTTAATCATCTATTAATTTATTTACCACTTGAAATCAGCAAATACAAGTATACTTAAAGGATTCCTAATAGATTCATAGACTTATTTAAAAGTCTCAAACCATAATATTCTTTAAGTTCTTTCTACACAAACAGTTTATCACTATTTGGTAGAGCAAGGTCAACTATCAACTTTGACATGTTTTTCGATGTTCTAACTGGGTGACGTGCACTGTCTCTCTTTGGATCTTTACATTTTCTTGCCAGACGGCCCAGACCTAGTGTTTTGGCAATAGTATGGCGCGCAATAGTATGACGTTGTTGCCGGGAGGCTTTTGTGGCTTGTGTAGCACAGCCTATCTGTGCTTATTTATCCTTGTTATTTGCCTTCGGCCTTGCCTTTAACTCACCTCAATGTCTTTGTCCTCTTCTGTTTCAGTCTCTGTTACAGATATTCATTAACTATAAGCTGAGCCCAATGAATGATACTCAGCTGTGTAACAGAGCGGTCTGACAGTCCTGACCACTCGTGCTTAGCCATGCTGGTTAGTGAATGTTCACCCTTGTATATATATATGTTTTGTCTGTATTTTAATTAACTTGTGTTTTGTAAATAAGGCATTGGTTCTTGATTGATTATGATTCTTTGATTCATTACATACAACTACTGCATTTTCTCATGATTCCTATTTTAAACAAATAGTCAGCTTTACTTACTTAATTGTCATTGCATTCTTTAACTGTGTTCACCTTGAAAACCCTTTTGCTTCTTTGGTTTTACTTAACTTGTTTTGATTCCATTTAATTATGACTATATCCCTTGCTTGCTTTGTTAAGGTTAACTGATAAGTCCCTTGCCGTTACTTTACTCTGCAATGCTTGATTACTAATTAATCATTTCAATCACAGCTCCTTAAATTATACATCTTTTGCCATTTTATTAATTTCACTTATTTGTTACAGCTGGCACGGTAATGTCAAGTTCACATTAACCCGCCCTGTGCTCTTCCTTTATTAGTGATTTTTGGATTTTATTTTTGCCTACCACAAACCTTAATTTGTTCATCTGATATTGTTCCTAATAAAATTTAAAACCTTAAAGCTTTCAAAACTTAAATTTAGACAAGAATTAGCGCTTCCACAAATATTTATTCATTCTCATTGTCGTGGCCCTTCCTGTCATAAGAGGGGGTAAATTGCAATTTGCGGTGCGCTGAGACTCACACGATAACAACGCCACTATTTCAACCATCACTGAATGCATGGAACTAAGACAAAGCTTCATATAAAGGAAAAAGTTGAGAAGTGTCGGAATTACCTATGATGGTGGAATATACCGCGGTTACCCTAACAAAATAATTTGTTTAAATTTTAGATTTATACAAAAATAGTTCAAACCTCTATCAGAAACAAAATAATTAATCATTCTCTTGCATTAAATATACTAATGATAGTTGATTAGTCGGACTTGGTTCCCGCTAGGCGCTAGATTATGCACTATGATCATCCTGCTAGATTATGCCCCAGGAGGCCAGAATGAACAATGAAGCTATTCAGTAGCAAGCTTGCTCTTATGATGTGTAGTTCCGCTTGGCTGAATTGCGTGTTTAGTGTGCATCATGGAAAACTCTGCTTTGCAGCGTAGTTTTAATTACTTTATCTTTATGAAGTTTAGTTCATTGCGGTCAACTTAAGAGACAAATCTTCATCTTATACTTTTTACGGTCAACTTAAGAGACAAATCTTCATCTAATACTTTTTATAAGTTTAATTTTAATTGTTGAGTGAAAGGTGCAGGCATGCAAGTTCCAAGTGATTACTTTATAGAAACTGAGCAAGTTAGCGTATGTGTTTTATGCCTTTAAAAAGTTCATTTTTTGCCTCAAATAACAATGTTGGGTCAAAAAAGTGGTCTTGGTGGATCAAAATAATATATGATGAATGAACCTTCAAAATTAGAATTTCATCCTGGTCAGAATTACCCAGTAGGGTAAACGCGGTATATTCCGACACATTAAGGACGCACCAAGAAATGAAAAACTATAAAAAAAAATAACTGTATGTGTTACTTGAGTTCTGTTTGCTTTATGTGACTCGCAAAACACCATACTACGCGCCAGCAACGATGAAACGTCACAAAATGTTGCCATATTTATTTAAAAGCCTTTAGAATGCAAACCTACCAAATCCCTATATTCCGACACTGTGTGTGGCAATATTCGGCACGTGGGGAGGCGTATTCCGTCCGCGCTTCAAATTCTACAGATACGTAATGCTGTCATCCACATGTTCGAATACTGTTCGCTGTGTGAGCTGTATTGGAATACAACACGGCTTTGAATTAGAACACTAATGAATATTGAACACTACTTAATTACGCTTTTAATCAACAACTATTGCGCAAATGTATGACGTCACCATTTCAACCATCAACAAACGCATGGAACTAAAACAAAGCTTAATATAAAGGAAAAACGAGAGAGGTGACAGAATTACCCACGATGTCGGAATATGCCGCATTTACCCTACCCACAGTGTCAGAATATGGTGCGATTACCCCATATTGCATGCACAGATGCCTGCAAGTGTGTTGACAAGAACTTCTGAAGGTTTAAATTTTTCTGCTGATGCATTGCCAAAGATCTTCAGAATTTCAGATATTCACAATTCACCCACGTCCCACTTTCTGCACACTGGCCATAGGCCACTGGGCTCAAAAGCCCTACACTGAGTAGGTACACTCAATACCCCTAATGCTGTTATTATTGCTGCCAGCCTGCCACTGTGCCGCAGCCACAGGCCACAGCACTTTCACTTTAGTCACCAGCCTTCAATAATGAATAGAAACCATCTATTATGACAAAATTAAACCATAAATGGTATTATTGCAGATTAACTACATCCAAAAAAAAGGGTGTTTTTTTTTTTAATTATATGTTTTTTGGGGTGTAGATTACGAATCTGAAATCCATTTTTGGCGGTCGGCATCGGAAAACCGATTTTTTGCAATAATACCGATCACACGTAGCGCACGACATCTTGAATGAAACTTACCCGTTGCACTGCAACAGGTAAAGAAGACGAAAATGTTACCCGTTGCAGTGTTGCACTGCAACGGGTAACATTTTCGTCTTCTTTGTCCATAAATCTGGAGATACATTGCCACATCGAGAGATCACAACCTAACGCCAACTCGCAGGTTGGGTTGGTTCGCCCAGGTTCCTTTTAGATCAAAATGCTATCTAAAAAACTTGGCTGACTTAACCCAACCTAAGAGCTTTTTGTAAAATTTCGATGAACAATCCGACCCTTTATATAAAGGTGAGTGGGTAACGTAAGTTACGTAACCCCCATGTTAGTAAATAAAGGTGAGTGGGTAACGTAAGTTACGTAACCCCCATGTTAGTAAGTCGCGAAAAAAATCGGTTTTCCGATGCCGACCGCCAAAAATGGATTTCAGATTCGTAATCTACACCCCAAAAAACATATAATTAAAAAAAAAAAACACCCTTTTTTTTGGATGTAGTTAATCTGCAATAATACCCCATAAATTCATATTAAAACTTACAAGCAACACAGCTTTGTATGTCATATTCTTGTTATATGGTCATCCAACCCTACATACATTCTGTTCCACACATAGTGGCAAACCAGTAATTTTTAGAATCAGTTCATTTTTAATTTTCTCATTTACCTAAGATTTAAGCCAATATCTTATGTATGATGATGCTGGTAGTGGTATCCATGATACTTTTCGGGTCTACTTATAGATAGGACTTGAAATTTAACTAGAAGGAGAGTCTAAAAAAACTCTCTGCTTTGCCACTATGGTTCCACATATTGCAGTCCTCCTCCTGGCAACTGGGCCAGTGGGCAGTGGTGAGTGGGCTGGGGCAGACCAGGGCCACTGGCTCAGTCCGTTGGACGCTGAGAAGCAGAACCCGCCACACGAGACGGGGCGAATAATAAGTTCACTGTACTCTGCGGATAATTGGGCAGTTCTGCAATTTCAACAGCTGAATGAGTAAAACAGTATGACTTTACAATTTATATAACTCATGGCCAAACTCATACATATAGGCCCTACTTCAACCATTTCATAACTGGAGCAATTTAAACCGCAACCTTTGATACTATAATAACTCTGAACACTATCTCCAAATAACCTGAATCAGATTCACTTCCACACAAGAAATGCGAAGTGACGAAATAAATCACTTACTCA